CCCCTGGGCTCCCTGGAGAGCCCTCCCAAGGCCCAACCTCCCTCTGCCACTCCGCCTCTGGGCCATGCCATGGGAGGGGCTAACCAAAGCATCTCATCGCCCTCATCTCACCCCTAAGCCACGGTGGCAAGGCTGGGCACCAAACATCAGACAGACCCTGTTTGCTAGGGTCTAAATGTGCACATCCCCCAACATTTGTATGTTGAAACCCAATCCCCAGTGCAGTAATACAGGTCAGGAGGGGGGACCTTTGGGTGAGCGCTTTGGTCGGAGGATGGATCCCTCACAAGTGCTCTCGCAAGAGAGGCCTCTGTGAGCCTTCCCTTTCACCAGGTAGGATGCAGCAAGGCGGCCCTGGACAGAAGCCGCGGTCACCTGGAATCAGGCAGCTCAGCCTCCATACCCGTGAGAAATATACTGCTGTGTATAAGCCGCCCAGGCTCCATGTTTTCTTTGTTCCAGCAGCAGGGACAGACATGGCACTTCTGTGTAGGGCGGCTCCCTCCCTCCCTTTCCTGTGCTGCAAGGCACAGCTGAGGCCACGCCTCCCCAGGTGAAGCCCAGTGTTCCACTAATGCTTTACATCAACGTGGGGCATGATCAGGGAAGAGAGCACATGCTCCATCTCTGATCTCAGCTTTGGAGGTGAACGCACACACATGCACCAGGCTGGGTGAAACATGTAGAAGCTCTCTGGCTTCAAAGGGCTCACAGACCAGCTGCAGGCCAAAGATGCCTCCTGACATGCCCGAGCTCCCTCCCCTAAAATAAAGACAAGTAGCCAGGTTCGGTGGCTCAGCCTGTAATCCCGTGCCTTTGGGAGGCTGAGGTGAGTGGATTGCCTGAGCCCGCAGGTTCGATACCCGCCTGGGCAGCAAGACCTCATCTCTACAATAAATAAAAAAATCAGCCGGGCGTGGTAGCGCATGCCTGTAATTCCGGCTACTAGGAAGGCTGAGGCGGAAGGATCGCCGGAGCCCAGCAGGTCGAGGCTGTGGTGGCCGGGTGTGTCCACTGCACTCCAGTCTGAGCAACAGAGTGAGACTCCAACTCAAAAAAAATAATAATAATAATAAAATAAAGACAAGTCCACAGAGGAGCAACTTTCTAACAGCAAAGGGGAAAAGAGGGTTCTGCAGGTGAAATGCCCTGCCTGACCCTAGGACAGATTGTCTCTGGAGCTCCCCAAGGCTCCATGACAGACAGGAAGGAGACCTTGTCAGGGGCCACACCATGGTGCTTCTCGGGCTGCAGTGCCATTTGCTACATGGAGAGAAATGTGGCAGGTATGGCTATTTCCCATGTCCAGGTGACTGAATTAAGAGGCAGACGCCTGTTCCCCACTGGACTGAGTGATGTTTGATTTCAGTTCTGATGCTGGTTGTTGGGTAACTGACAAGTCCCGTGAGCCATACCACCCCCCACCCACCCCACCCCCACATCGCCGCATGGCTTTGGTGTCAGGGTGTGTGCCTGTGTCCCATGAGTGTCCTGCAGCCTGTGGAGCTGGCCCAGTCCACAAGAAACGGTGGCACCTTGTATGCCGGCTGGGCAGTGCCAAAGCCGAACTCAACCCAGCCAGCTGTGCCCTGTGGCCCCTTCCACTGCTGCTCTGCAGACTGCCTCCATGGTGCTGGGTCTTAGCCTTTGGTCTGGTGCAGTTCCCATGATCTATGATTTTGTTTCTAGCATTGACTAAAGGTTTTGAATTTAATGTAGACTTCTGATAACTTGGAAATGGGGGTTTAGGCTGCATTAAATGGACTTGTGCAGGAACAGCCTGACACCTTCCCAGGCAGAGACTGCCTCCTGGGAGTGAGACAGATAATACCATTGTATTGTGGTCAGTGATGAAGCATGGTGACCAGAAAGCCCTAGATGCTAGGCCCAAGGCAGCTTCAGAGCCGTCAGAAGAATGTACCCAGCCAGGAAGACTTTCTGAAAAACTCAGCGGGCACCTAGGACCACTCTCCTGTGCCATCAATAGCGCTCAGTGCACACTGTGAGAGGATCTGAGTGGCGTGGTGCCTTCTTTTGTCTTCTGCTTGGCCTCCTAGATCCTGCTCCTTTGGGGGCTGCAGTTGGGGGCCGTGTCTGGAGGACAGTAGCCTTTTCAGCATATGTCTGGCTAGCTGCCAGCACACAGACCACTTCTCTTACAACGAAGCACATGGGATTCCAGGATGGTGCATAACAGACTGCACTCAGGTAGAGCCGCGTGATTTGCTGTTTGAGTGTGTTCCATGAGCAAGGGTCAGCTGCAGATGGTAGTAGAGGCTGTGTGCCCAGCACCAGGAATGCACACTCTGCAGCCTCAGGGATTCCAATATAATAACAGGTTGCAACTGTGACAACAGTAACAGGCGTGAGTGTCTTGCTTCGTGGTTTGCAAGGTCCTTTTCAAGATGGTGCCTTCACCATAAGGGCTACCAAGGGAGGCCTGCAGCAACACACTCCAGGCTCAGCCTGAACGTTGGAATGCTGTGAGCTGTGGTGGCACTCTTCCAGCACACTGGTGTCCACCTGAGAGCTCACCCCCAACAGAGCCTCCTGGAAAGCCCCCCACCCTCTCTCACACAAGGCGCCCTGCATGGACAGGCCAGTTACCACAAGTGCTTCCTCCTTCCCCCACAGCTTCTGCTGTTGCCTGTAAAGACAGTTTGGTTTGGGAGGTTAAGGTGGAAGCAAATTGTATTTTCACACTGCTCAGGGGGCTGTTCCTTTTGCGGGGTAGGGTGGAATGAGGCTGGTGAACGAGTCTAGCTTTTTAGGGAAAGGAGGCCCAAAACTCTACATGACTAGAGAAACCCCGAGCAGGGCCTGCTTAGGGATGCTGAGTGAGATCCATTGTTTCATGAGTGAAGCATGCCGTCTGATTCAGGCCCTGAAGGGGACCTTGGAGCCTTGGCTGCACCTGGGCTGTTCACAGTGTGTCCTGCACTTTGGGACACAGATTCACTTCCAGTACCAGACAGTGTAGACCACACCGTGGCAAATGTGCCACCTTTCACCCCTTAGAGCAGGCAGTCAGGATTTCTTAAGGGTCTGCTTCCTGCTATTCCTTTCACTTCTGTTTTGTTGCCACTGAGTTCCCAGCCAGCCTTTCCCACATCAGTGCAGATGACAGTTCAGTTTTGTGGTGGAAAATGGGAGGAGAATGTGGAGTTAACAGTTCAGGCAGAGAGAACACAGAGTTTCTGACCTCAGCCTCCCAAGAGTGGGTGGAAAGCCCATTCACCTGCGTGCAGCTGGAAGTGGCTGGGTCCCTCTCCTCAGGATAACTCTAGATGAGTTCTTACGCCGGTTAAGGGCCAGGACAATCCTTAGTGTCAGTTATTATGCACAAATAAGGCAGGATCTTGAAAAGATGTTGAAGAATGTCTCGTGACCTTAGACAGGCCTGCAGTAGGTGGCAGGTGGATACACAGTGTGACCGTGAGGGATGGGCAGGGGGTATGGAGGAGCTGCACTCACACAGTCTCACATGGCAGAGGTGGTCGAGTCCAGGTGACAGGCACAACAAGTGTTTCTTCCAAAATACAGCACAGAGGCATGCCATCGTGCAGAGAGGAGCACAGTGCATGATTTTACTTTATGTAAAGTGTTTTCTGACGACAGTGTTGGTGACATAATAGGTAGACAGTGGCTTTGGGAAAGATGTGGGACATCCTTCCCCTTTTCCTCCCTTGAGTGCCACTAGATGGTTGGTTATAATGGTGGAACAAACTTGAGAAGGCTGGCAGGCAGGAGGCACATGCTCCAGGACCGTCCACATTGGATGTGGTGTGATCGCATTGGGGTAGCCATAGAAGAGACCAGAGTGAGGCTTGGAAGGGAGAAGTGTACAACACCCACAGGTCCTAGCAGGGCCCAGCGAGGCCTCAGTCATGTCCTTCTTCAGGGTTTCTGCAGGAGGGGTGAAATGGGCAGTGACGTGAGGCTCAGGTCAGACTGGTCTGGGTGATTCTGGCATGTTAGTGCTGTGAGGTGCTCTCCAGCTGCCTTGCACCTGGCCAGGGATGGTATGGGGCAGGGACTGGCATGGGTGAGAGTCAGGCCAGAGGGTGGTTGTCTGCTTAGAGCCCTCACTGACTCTGAGGATCTCCCATCCCTGGGAGAGCCAGGCTGTTCCTAGCCTGCAGGCTTCTTTAAGATGCCAAAATGAGCCGAGCTCGGTGGCTCAGCCTGTAATCCCGCGCCTTTGGGAGGCTGAGGTGA